TCTGTATCGCTGATTGATTTTCGGTAATGGAATATCTTCTGACATAGATTTCAGAACGGTAACAGTTAACTAAAATTTCACGTGGTATCGCTGAATCAGGAGACGGCGTTTCCTGATTCACACTGTCAATTTACTGTTTTACGAAACATTTTCTCCTCCCTTCTTCCTGTGTGTTTTATTGCGCACTTCCTTTATGCCATTTCCATTTCCCGAAACTCGCTTAAGTGTTGCTAAAACATTGCTCATCGCAATTTTCAATGACCGAAATCAAATATCACTATTTTTTATGCTAACCAACTGTATTAAAAGCATTCGGCGGAATAATTTTCTGCGGTTTTCTATTAATCATGGTTATAAGTTTTGCATTATGCTGGTTTTACGACACGGGACAGAATAAAGATCTGTATATTTGCTATATATCGATCGATACATCTGTCATATTGAGATTTTACAGATCTTTACTCTATAATGAGCAAAATTAAATCAGTGCACAAGGGGAGGCATCTGCGGTGATGGACCCCCTGAGATGCAGGCTTCACAGGAGAGAGTCATGAGCAGTTCGTTTCAGAATGAAATCCCGAAAGCAAGGGTAAATCTGAAATTAGACCTACATACAGGTGGTGGGCAGAAGAAAGTGGAGCTTCCGCTCAAACTGCTGGTTGCCGGTGATTTCAGTAACGGACAGGAAGAGCGTCCACTGTCAGAGCGTGTAAAAACGGATATTAATAAAAACAATTTTAATGATGTTCTGGCAGATATCTCCCCGTCTGTGCGTCTGAATGTGGAGAACACGCTTGCCGGTGATGGCTCTGAAGAGAGCATCAGCCTGACGTTCCGCAATATGAACGATTTCACGCCAGAGCAGGTCGCCCGACAGATTCCCCGTCTTAAAGCCATGCTGGCCATGCGCAGCCTTCTGCGGGACCTGAAAGCCAATCTGCTGGATAACGTGACTTTCCGTAAAGAGCTGGAAAAAATTCTGCGTGACCCGGCACTGAGCCAGACGCTGCGTGATGAATTGCGTGCACTGGTGCCGGAAAAGGCGTGATTTAACGGATTACGAGAGAAAATGCTGATGTCTGTACAGAAAGAAAAGAACGTCGCAGAGAGTGTGGTATCTGAAACGCATACCGGCGACAGCGTATAT